GAGAGAGAGAGAGAGAGAGAGAGAAAGGCAGGTGGAAAGAAGGAAGGAAGGAAGGAAGAAAAAAGGAAAGAAGGAAGGAAAGGAAGGAGGTAGCAAGGAAGGGAGGGAGGGAGGGAGACAGTTCAGAAACTCAGATACAACACCACGGAGCAACTAAAATCTTAAACGCTTCCAAAAGAAAATGCTATGTTGCTCACAGCAAGAAATCAGTAAACAGCCAATTGAGGCTTGCTTTTAAAATATATCCAAATAGGCTGTCCTTAACATAAAGTCTTCTTTATGTTATGATTGTTTTCTAAGATATATTACATTGTGATAAACGATCATGTACACTGTTTTGACAATCAGAGAATTTATGAATGAGAAACCCATTTGCCTGCAGTGATCAACTGAATTGTTAAAAAAGCATTAACAGTTATGATACAGTTTAAAATTTAAGAACTGTGTTACAGTTTTGCTTTCTTTTTAATCAGGAGCAAAGGAAAGCAATCAAAAGGCATTTTTTTTGTAGTAATTAACATCTTACAGCCTTCATTAGAAAAACTCACAAATCTAAAGATATAGGCTGGTTTGTCTCCGTTGTCTTAGGTTTATGTAACCTATCACCTATCATATGGAGATGTCCTATTCATGTTTTTAACCTCTGCATGGAGGAATGTCATAAACTCCTGCTGCTACTTATCTCCAGGTTCTTAGAGTAAGAACATAATGACTGTCACCAGTATTAGCAGAAATATATAGCACCTGGCATCCTGGGCCTAAGGATCTGTATGTCAGGCATGAAATCCCTTCCTGACTTGTAGGAAAAATATCTTAACTTGAAACAGAAATTATAACCATTTTTCTCCATTCATGCCTAGAAAAACCCCAAATAGAAAAAAGATTACCCACTAAGGAAAAAAGAAAATGTCAAAGACAAAGAAGTATTACTAACAGGCATGGCAAGATTTAGCATCTCTAGGGAATTCTGTTGGGGCTTGAAAGTACAACTATGCCCTGGATAGGGTATCACTTGGAGAAGCTGGCTGGTTGACAAAGAACCTCCCAGTTTGGCATTTACCTCGGTGCAAGCTCTGAAATTCAAACTATTCAACACTCAGAGTCACAGAAGCCAAGCACACATTCATCTTATATGTAAACTAAAATTCCAATTTACTTAATTAAAAATACAAAATATAAGCTGGACCCAGTGGTGTGTGCCTACAGTCCCAGCTAGAGGTGGAGGCAGGAGCATCACTGGAACACAGGAGTTTGAGACCAGTCTGGGCAACATAGCAAGACTCTTCAAAAAGCATAGATACGAGGTTGATTTGCTTTCTCACAGGCAAAGAGAAATATAAGTGAGAATCCAAAATGTAATGAGAAATATGCTTGATGTGTATAGAACTGGAATACGATTAGTGTACGATTCCAATTTAATTGGCCTTGCTAACCCAATGCCTCACTTCCACGAGAGAGACTTTCTTCCTGAATTCTGCCCATGCTGGATGTGCACTGCCCATTGCTTCCCTCTGTTTCTTATTCTTGCAACTTCTGTTTCGATCACTGCTCTTCTGAAAGGTATTCTTTCTCTGGATATTTCAACATCGCTGGAACAAGCTGCTGCTTGTGACATATGTCATCATCATGAGTCTTAGGCTGGGAGGAATCTTCCTTTAGTCACACAGTATTTAGCTACTGTCTTAGTCACTTTTCTCATTGCTGGAACACAATGCTACATAACCCACAACTTAAAAGGGGAGAGGTTTATTTGGCTCACAGTTTGTAAACGTTTCAGTCCACTGTCCATCGGTTTCAAGGCAGATGGAAGAGGGGCACTGCAGAGGAAAGGCTGCTCATGTCATGGTAGACAGGAAGCACAGAGAGATCACAGGAGGAGCGAGAAGGGAGGCAGAGCCTCCCAGACCATGCCCCAGTGCCCCACTGCCTCCCACCATCAAAGCATCACACTCGCAACATCACACACAGTGGATTAATGTGCACATGAGCATCGTGCCTCATGATCCCATCACTCCCCGAAAGCCCCACCTATGGGCGCTTGAGGCTTTGGGGGGAGAGCTAGATATAAACCATAACAGCTATGAATTGGGTTTTTATATGAAACATTTGAAAGGTTCCTAACTAAATAAGTTCTGCTTTGGAGAAAACCTTGCTTTTGCCCTATGTACCATTCCCAGGCAGTAACATCTTACCAGACCGTGAACATACTCTGAGTTACTTGGGAATTGAGGATAAGCCTTATTGACGTGTACCTGGCCCGTGAGAGACACTCAGTGAATGTTTGTTGAGTGAATGAGTGTAGGTGATGAGAGCTGCTGCTCTGTTCTGAATTTGACCTGACATGGAATAGCAGAGTGCATTGATCCATAGAGTCTCCTGCCCATCAGTTTATGATAATCAGGATTCTTTGAAAAAAAAAATTAAATCAAATCTCTACTAATGAGTAACTTCTCAAGCTCCTATTGTGCCAAACAGATTTAGTTCCCAGTGAAGAAGTGGCACTGACCTTTTGAATTTGTCATTTCATTTGAATAATTTATAGCGTTGTCTTGTTTCTAGGTAATTTAGTTAAAAAAAAAAAAAAGTAGGATGTTGTTCCAGAACAAAAGGGTCAATAATTGCAATATCCCATTTCATCCTACTGTTTTCCCCAGGACAAGAAACTCTTCTCCTTATTGGAGAACAATCCTCCTGGTTCCCCTAAGGGATGCACACACATATTGAATGTCTTTTATGTACAGAGCACTGCTTTAATTGTAGCAATGACAAATATTTGTTACACATGTTCTTCATTTGGGGACATATCAGTTGGAAAGCCGATAGCTACATAGGGGAAGTTAGTTATTATTACAAAGCAAATGGAAAAGAGGTGGAAGAGACATTAAAGTTCACAATCATTCATACGTAACTGCTCACCAGAGTTGAAGAGAGCAGAGAGTTCTTCAGGGGTTTCATGAGGACTGTATTTTCTTCTCATCTTACCTCATTCATAAGAGAAATTGTTGAAGTAGTTTATGTTCAAAGCTGTTCTGCTTTCTTGGATTAAATAATATACTCTGAACTTCCAAGCCCATTGTAACGGCAAGACCAATTTCTTTTCCTACACGTTCTTCTTGGCCCTTCATATACAGTGATTTCCAGATTCACCTCTCCGGGATAGGGTTCCTTCTGATGTTCAGAGTTGATATTTGATCAGGAACTTGACATTTCCACTTGGTTATGTTGTGGTAGGCATCTCCAACTTGTTATTTCTAAGACAGAACTCTAGATTTTGATTCTACTCCTTCTTCAGACCTTCGTCAACCCTGCAGATAAAATCACCATCTAACCACTTAATAAAAACCTTGTCTTTTGTTTCTCCTCACCTTCATTCTTCCCTGTCTTCTCTAATTTATGAAGTCTTTACATTCTACCTCCAAAATATATCCCTTATCTACCTACTTCTACTGACCTACTCCAGGATACTATCATTTGTTGCCTGGTCTCTTTCTTTCTTTCTTCAATCTTTTATTATGGTAAATATATATAACATTTATCATTTTGACTATTTTGGATTATACAGTTCACTGGAATTAAATAGTCACCCTCCTGTGCAACCATCACACCATCTATCTGTCTAGAGAACATGCTCATTTTCCCAAATTGAAACTCTGAACCCATTAAACAACTTGCATTTCTCCTGTGTGAAACACCATTCTGCTTTGTCTCTATCAATTTAATTACTGTAGGAGTTATTGTTTGGATATAAATGTCCTCCCAAAGGTTCTTATGTTCAAAGACGGAGCTTTTGGAAGGTCATTAGATCAGCTGAGTGTGCTGTTAGGAGGAGGGGCCTGGTGGAAGAAGAAGGTCATTGGTGGCAAGAAGCTTGTATCTGGTCTCTGGTCCCTTTCTCTCTGGTTCTTCCCTTGTCTTGGCTTCCTGCCTAGGAAGAAGTAAGTATCTTTCCTCTACCACACCTTTCTACCATGATGTTTCCACCTCGGAGCCAGCTCACCATGAACGGAAACCTATGAAATCATGAGCCAAAAATAAACCTTTTGTCCTTTAATGTTAAGTGTTTTTATTGTTAAGTGTTTTTAATGCTTTTAATGTTACATGTTTAATGTTAAATGTTTTCTCTTGGCAACAAAAAGCTGACCAATACACCATGCACTTCAAATAAATGGAATCATGAAATATTTCTCTTTTAGTGACTGATTCATTTCCCATCACACGATTTTCTCAGGGTTTACTCTCATAGTAGCATCTCCTTCCTAAGACTGAATGATATTTCACTTATGGATATACCACACTTTGCTTATCTATTAGTCCATCAATGCACACCTGGGGCTACCTTTTGGCTATCCTGAACAATGCTGCTTCTTGCCTGATCTCTGCTTCCTCTTTTTTCCTAAAATCTACTTGCCTCATAGCTGGAGTACTCTTTAAAAATGCAAGTCACATCTTGTCACTTTTCTGCTTGAACTGTACTCAGTGGCCTGAACTGCTTAAACTGCACTCAGAGTAAAGTCTAAAGTCTTTACCAGGATCTATGAAGTCATATACACAGTCCTGTCCCTACCTATATACTTCTCCTTCTCTGCTCATTATACCCAGACACCAGCCTGGTTGTCATTTTTGAGCAGCACAGACTGTCTTTGGGCCTCACTGATGCTAGCCCTGTACCAGAGTAGTTGACCCAAGACATCTAAGTCTTTGCCTACATCACTTTTTTCAAGCACATAAAGTACTCCCCTCCCCTATCTTTTTTTCATCTGTCATATCTCTCTATTTTCCTTTCTCCCTGGCACTTATCATTATTTAAAACTGACAAGAACCTTTATTGGTTTACTTATTTATATCCTGTCTTCCATTTTAGTGTGTGTCATCACGCCTCTACAAATCAGTGAATAGGACAGTGCCTGCTGTGATCTGGGGAAATTAAAAAGCATTGCAACATTAGTTGGTTTCTTATTTTTACTCTTCTGTGGGGTGATATATTAATTTTATAAATGCAATATCTAGGTCTTTCTGGAATGGCACATCAGACTTTGACTGTTGTATGCTTTGCTGATTGTTGTGCCCAGACTACAATAGCAAACCTGTTAAAAGTGAGCATGTCCCTTGCAAGTACTTAAGACACAGCAGATCAATATATTTGTCAAAGGCATTGTGTAATTTCTTTTAAATGAGTGTGGATAGACTTACACACTACCTACAGAGTTTTGCTGTGATTGATCACATACTGATGTCAGGGGAAAAATTGTGTACACTCTCTTAAACTATGTATGTTTCTTTACAACTTGCTTCATGTTATTAATATTTACTTGGTAACATTGGGAAATACTGGTAGAATCTGTGAAATGTATTAAATATTAGTACAACTAAGTTTTTCTTAAGACTGAAAAGCAAACAAAGGTTCTAATATCCTTTTACTGTATGTCTTCTGGGGTAAATGCCCCCCTACTCTTGAGTCCATTGGTCTAATCATGGATCATGACTATGTCAATACAAAGCTATCCTTGAGTCCCTGGGCAACCTTCCATCAGTGTACTTTGTGATCAGTTGAGCTGTCCATCATGACAGAGTGACAGCTGTCGGTCTCCTTTGGAAATGCCCATCATGGGGGGAGGCCTTCATTTTTTTTTTTTTTGGTACTGGGGATCAAACTCAGGTCCTTGCGTTTGCCCAACAGGCGGCGAAACCGCTGAGCTAAATCCCCGGCCCTGGGAGAGCCCTTTTTGGTCTCTGGTATGATCTACTGGTGTTTTGTTTTTGCTGAGTGAGATTACTAATGTTCTAGATTTAATTATTTGCCTCTATACCCTCCTTATGGATATTAACCTCTACCCTTTTTTATATCAAAAAAGACTTGGTGTCCCAGTTTGACAAAAAGCAAAGTTTTTACACAGCCCCTACCTCCACTGCATTATATTCAGATCAGGCTTCATCATATCCCGTAATTTATGTACAAAAATTTAAACTAATACCTTTCAAAATCAGAATGTTTCACATGGAAGAAACAAGTTGAAAGAGATACATGATAATTTTTCCCAGTTTATAAATTTATTCTAATAAATGAGTTATTTAAGAAATAGATTTGCATAAAGGACATTTGCTTTTTATTGAGTTGAAGCGCACTGTAAGTGTACCACAGCTTGCTAAGATTTGGTGAAAGTCAAGGCATTTGGGGATATTTGGGATATTAACAGTCTTTTGCTCAATGAATTGATTTTCAAGTTATGTAAAATTAAGTGAGAAAAATCAGATTCCTCATCTTATAGATTTTTGAATTACCACTGTGGTACCAGATTGAATAGTTTCCACCAAGTTGAAAATTTCCTTTGTCCATGAGGTTGTGTAAAAAAAAAATTCTTGCCTGTCAGGGGGAGAAAGGAAAAAAACAAAGTTGTCTTTATGGGGGACTTGTGCTATGCTTGGCTTTGTCATTGATCAGTGTGTGACCTCCTGCAGTTCACTTCACCTCTCCAGTACGGCTGTTTTCTTATCTACAGAGTGGTCACAGTAATTGCTGCACCCCTGCACATGTTTAGCAAGTGCTCTAGTTCTGTATGGATAGGCATGAGAATGACCATAAAGGGAGAGATTTTTGCCATAGAAGTTGTTTACATATAAAATATTGTTATGCAAATGCACTTCACACTTTAAAACACACATTTTTTGTTAAATTTACTGTTTTGTTTGGTACCAGGGATCGAACTCAGGACCTTGTGCTTGTGAGGCAGGCAGCGAAACCACTGAGCTAAATCCCCAGCCCAATTTATTGTTATTTTTAACCTCTATTAAACTTGTAATCTTCTAAAAGTTTAGACTTTTAGAAAAGTTGTGAAGATAGTAGAGTTGCCATATACCTTCCATCCAGTTTTTACTATTATCATTTTTAGATTGATATTTTAACCCTTAGTTTTCATCAATAAAATAAATATTATTCTATATGCTGAAGGTCTAGAGCATAAATGTGCGGGCCCTGCTTTTCTGTGATCTTAGTTCCTGCCTGCTATCCCGTGGAAAACAGAGTATTTTCTGTAAGTACATGTAACAATTACGATGTTTTTGGCTCCAAATAGCGGAAAACCTGGACCCATCTGGCTAAAAGAGCAAAAACCATGACCTCAAATTGTGGAGAAGTGGAAGCAAGGCAGTTCTAGGATCCAGTGATAGCCTCAGAACCTTGGGCTTTTCCATTTTTCTCTCTTTGCTGCTCTGCAGTCTGGCTTGCAACTGGTTACCAGATGCTGTAGCTGTTCATGTACCCTATCAGATGCAACCACAACAAGGGCAGAAGAGACAGTTTCTGCCTTTGTGATTCTTGATCAGCAAGGAAAAGCTTTTCCGGAAGCCCTCCAGCAGACTTTCTCTCATTTTCCTTTGGTGTGAATTGCATCATATGCCCTTGCAGTATCAAGCACTGGTGAGGAAAGAGGAGCACCATGACTGCCTTACAGTAATTACAACGTGCCCCTTGGCACATTTCTTTTCCCCTTAGGAAATACGTGGCCATGTGGGGGACAGCAGCCCGCCAGACAAAAGCAAAGCCGGACAAGAAAGGGTGTGGCTGTGCTGGTGAAACATTTCTGGGTAAGTAACAAAGACAACTACAACATATTATTAAGCTTTGATAATAATGGTGGGTGGGGGAAATTTAAATAATAAGATAGCTAATAGTTATTACTTATTTTGCACCAGATATTATCTTAGAAGTACATTCTGTAATGTCATGAAGGCATTTCTAAACATACTCAGAAGTAATCTAAACTTGGGAATCTAGAATGGCTATCTAGTGTCTTTAAAATCTGTAAAGGGCCGGGATTTAGCTCAGTGGTTCCGGTGCCTGCCGTGCAAGCTCAAGGTCGGGGGTCTGATCCCTGGTACCAAAAAAAAAAAAAAAAAAAAATTCTGTAAAATGGCCCAATTTATAGATTAAAGTAACATATGCCAAATAATTACTTGTTGAATTGTGTGGAATAAATATTTTGCCCAAAGCTGAGAAGCAGGATATATTTTTTCTTTATTTTGGCTTGAATACAATTTATTCTTCTAAATTTTGGCTCAGTGGCCCCCTTTGCCTATAAATAGTATATACCTACTTTGAGTTCAATTAGTATGATGATATAGTTAATATTTTATAGAATAGTAAGTTGAATCAGGAAAAAGCTTAACTTATATACTGTCAGAATATTACCAAAATTTAAAAATCTCATTTGAAATAGTATTAATCTATTTTGAAAAGTTTACATTTATTTGCTTTTTTGTTTTATTGAGGTAAAATTTACAAAGAGTACATCATGTTTTGGACAGTTCTATGGATTTTGAGAAATTTATGCATTGTGTAACTACCACAAGAATTTAGAGAATATTGCCAACATCCTAAAACATCCTCTCTGGACCCTGTAGTTAATTTCCTCCTCTCCAGCTCAACTCCTGGCAATTATTGCTTTGATTTCTGTCCCTGTACTTTTTGTCTTTTTAAAGAATATTGTATAAATTGCATCATATAGTGTATAATATTTGAGTCTGAAGGTAGGGTCTTCTTACAATTCTCTGTAGATTTATCCATGTCATGGTATGTATTAATAATTACTTCCCTTTTTGTTCATCTCTAGCTTTTGGCATTCATGAATAGCACTATAAATATTTGCAGAGAAGTTTCTGTGAGATTATTTGTCATCTCATGTAGGTAAATGACTAAAAGAATTCCTGGGTTATACAATAACTGTATTTAATTTTATAAGAAACTGACCAATTGTTTAACAAAATAGCATTTTGCATTCCCATTGGCTGGCTATATATATGAGAGTTCTAGTTGCTCCATATCTTTCTTCAACATTTTATAATATCAGTTTTTTTGTATGGACTATTCTAATAGGTGCATAGTAGTATCTCATTGATACTACTAAGGACTAATGATGTCAGGCTTCTTTTCATGTACTTATATGGCATATCTCTTCATGGCAAAATGACTGTTCAAATCTTTTACTGGCTGGAAAAATTTGGACAAGTCACTTAACTTGTGTGAGCTTCAATGATCCTATCTGGGGAAAGGGTACTAGTGATTGATAACATTTATCAATTATTTACTGAGTCTAGGTTCTGTTATTAGTATTCCACATATATTAAATACTTTAATCTTTACAACATGTATGCAGGAGGACTTATTATCTCTATTGCTATAAATGAGACAAATGTGGCACCAAAGAGGCCAAGTAACTTCCTAAATGCAGACAGCTTGTGTGAGCTGGATCTACAATTAGAACCTAGATATCTGCCACCAATGGTCCTGGGTATCATGACTAGGCTCTATCTCCTCTTTAATAGATAATCATATCTGTTTGAATTAGACACATATTAAGTGCTTAGCAGAGTAGGGACAACCTTTATCATTGCAATATTTTAAATGTGCTGGAAAATAGAGAACTTGGACAATATAATTCAATTGAATAATTCAATGAAAACAATGTTCTGTTGTGTGTGAGAAGAGGGTGCGGGGGGGAATGGTTATTCCAAAATGATTGCATATATTGCAAAGGATTTGTTTTCATGGTTCTCTAAAAGGGCCCCTTTACTCTTCATAACTTTTTTTTTTGCTTTTTGATACAGGGTCTCACTATGTAATTTGGGCTGGCCTTGAGCTCATTATGCAGCCCAGGCTGGCCTTGAACTTGCAGCAATCCTCTTGCCTCAGCCGTCCAAGAGCTGGGGTTACATCACCATGCCCAGCTCCATAACTAATTTTTAAATTATGCTGTCAATATGAATAATAATGTCCTTTCAACTCTGGTGCAGACATGACAGATTTTCAAAGAATCCCTATATAATGCATTTGACTGGGGTGCTGCATAATACATTGATGGGTTTGTCTGTTCTCTAAAGTGAATTACCCCTCTTAGAATTTAGATTGCTTAGGGACCTGTGTCTCTGGATATGTTTTGAGCAATCAATAACTCTGTTAGACATTTCAAATATCGCTCCCATATGGCAGGATGAGAAATTACCAAGGGCCTTATTCAAGTAATTTACAAGATTCCTTTGTCAGGAGTACATTGGGATGAATGTAACATAAGGTCTAGTGAATAACAGTTGAAACAAGATGAGTTCCTGGTGGCTTATATGGTAAGGATCAGCAGTACTAACATGGACTCAGCAGTTCAGGTGGTTTCTGGTGATTTCTTAGCCTTCTCTGCAGGGTCACAGATGACCACCATAGCTCTCAATGTTCTACCCTAATGTTAAAAGAAAGGGATGACAGAAAGGGGATTTTCCTTCCCTATTATCAGGGAAGACAGGCTTTCTCTGAAACCTCACAATAGAGTTTTTTGTTTGTTTGTTTATTTTTACCAACTAAGATGGTACTGCCTCCTCATTATTGGCCCGGTCTCCATGGGTTATACTAAAGCATTTTCTTCAAGTTCCTGATTAAAATTCCATTCTGTTAGAAAGGATTAAGTTGTGTGTGTGTGTGTGTGTGTGTGTGTGAGAGAGAGAGAGAGAGAGAGAGAGAGAGAGAAGAGAGGGAGAGATTGAATTTTATTCACTGTGTAACAATGAATTCTCTGAGATTTCATTCCGAGGGTTTACGAGCTGCTCTGGAGCCGACTTCAGTCCTCCTAGGGTGGTCATATCGACTTCTGACCTATATGGGGAGGCCTGCAATCAGGCTGTTTCTGGAAAGATTCCTGTTCCAGCCCATGGGGAGTGATGGTTTCCACAGAAGTTAAGAAACCTTTTCCTCATTATATCTCCAAACACTTATGGGCTAGAAGAATGAATGTTTTGGTCACTCTGTATAATTTGATGTCACTGTGTTATAAACTTAAATCAAGGTGAGGTAATAATCAGATCAAGACATTTCAGGAAAGTTTGTGTCAGGCTTCATGTTTTTAACAGATGTGATGTCAGGTTGAGTCAAATGCTAATTAATTTGAAAATTACAAATTCAGATATAGAAAGAGCCTGAATTATCTTTACACCATGCAGTCTACCATGCAAAAGGAGCCCGCTTCAAAATTATCCTCAAGGACTATTAGTTCTGTTAAACTTTTACTAAAAAAGAAAATGAGTTTTTGCCTTCTTCAATTTTCCCTTTCCTAATTTATGCAATAATAGATCCGCAAGAGAAGGGGTCATTGAAGCCCCATCAAACTTTAGTAATGTATAACGCTACTTTCCTTTAAGTCGTTCTTTCCCCACAATGAAGATGGAAGTGTGGACAGAGATTCCAAGGGAATCTCTGTATTGATAGGTCACTGCAGCATTTTTGTTTTCCAATTAACTAACACTAATTAAGAGATATCAACTAATTAACACTAATTAAGAGATATCACCAGCACCCGTAGAAAGCCATCTTTTGCATGTTAATTGGTCAGTCTGGGTGTGTTAGCTTTGTGTTGCAAGGACAAAATAACACTTGCAATGTAAAGGAGCAGAGGTTCATTTTGGCTCACAGTTTCAAGAGATTTTAGTCCATGGGTGGCTGGCTCCTGTAGAAGGGTGTGGCAGACGAAAACTGTTCACATTGTGGTGGTAGCCAGAAGCAGAGGAAGAAGGAGCCAGAGTGAGACATATCTGCCAAAGGCAGGCCCCAGGGACCCGCCTACTCCAAGTGGACCCCTCCCTTAACAGGTTATTGTGCTATAAACTGGTCCAGGGATGAACCCACTGACGAGCACAGCCGTCACACAGTCCAGTCACCTTCTAAGAGCCCCACCTCTGAACACATGAGACTTTTGGGGGACATTTTAGATCTTAATCATAATACTAGGCAATTCACGCTACGATTTATTTTCCATGATTGGGTGGGCACACATTTTAATATTTAAACATATTTTTCAGATTCCAAATGTCACTTATTATGAATAGAGAAATCATGTAGCCTTTTCAGAACAAGCTTTTTTTTTTGTCGCCTTTTTTGTTGCAAAATAATAAGCAACTTCAATAAGAAGGAAAGCTAAATTTGTTAGATTCTCAGAAAAGGACATAAGAGCATTCATCTACCTAGCAAGGGTGCTGTGAAGCTTAGGTTCATTGTTTGCAAAATACTCTGAAGCCCCCAGATGAAAGGAGTCTTTCCCTGCCCAACATTGTTGCAGTGCTTTCAGCTGCCAAAGAGAAGCTGATTCAGAATCTGTCTCCAACATCTAAGACTGGCCTGTTTTGTGAGGGAAGCACCAATATTTGTTCAATTGGTTAGGAACTGTTCAACTTCCTGTGATCTAATGAGGTTTAGTTTAAGAGTGGCATGCTGGCCAAAGACACATTTTAAAAAACCACCCCAAAGAGTGTTATCGGGGACAAACTAGAAATTTCCCTAAATTCCTTATCCTCTACCTTGTTTTTTCAAACATCAAATTTAAAGAGCATTTACGCTTTCTTTCACTGAGTTAACAGTGGCTCAGAGAAAGTACAGTGGTGTTTTGGTTTGCAAACTTAGTTCTTTCCACGATTCTGGCTGTAAGGGAATTTCAATCTCTTTAAAGAAAGCTTTTCTGGGGCTGGGGATTTAGCTCAGTGGTTTTACTGCCTGCTGCACAAGCGCAAGGACCAGAGTTCGATCCCTGGTACCAAATTAAAAAAAAAGAAAGCTTTTCTGTCATGACAAAGTCATGCACGTTTTGGAGCTCATCTAGTGCCCAGAGGATTTGGGCCATCAGATAGTGTAGGTACTACTTGGTTTCTGCATTGTGTGACCACTGAAGTGGTATTTATGGCTTCAGTCACCATCAAAAGAAACATGAGCTCACTGCCTCTGAGCTCCTCTTCTGAAGAGAAGAATGTTCAACAAGACATCTGTCTGGAAATACAATCAACTTGACATGTCCTCACCTTCAAACAAGGATCTTGTTCTGCTTGTTTCTTAACTTTTGGGAATTTTTTTCCCTAAATGAGTGTTAGAAAAAGCAATAATAAGCCAAACTACCTGACAGTGATTTTTATACGAACATAGAAAATAGTTTTAAAATAAGGTATATATTTTATTAAATGGATTCTATGGTAACAGTAATTTATTAGTAACTAATATATAAAACTATAATATGACAATAGTTTCCTTAGAGCTGTGATTTATGATGTATTAAGGACTAATCTTATTTAATGTTCACAACAGTCCTGTGTGATAGGTATTATTTCAATTTTACAAATGAAGAAACTGAAGCAAGTCTGGTTGTTTATAGTTGGAAAGAGAAGGATTCCAGCCTTGTTGTCAAAGCACCAAGATCTCTTGGCTATGGTTCTAGAATATTACATGCTAGTTACTCCTGGTGATGATCAGTAGGTTTAAATATTATCTTCTCCTTCCATGAAGGAAGATGGTAAGCATAACATTTGTGGAGACTTTTTAAAAATCTCCAGTGGAAGAAAAATAAAATTAATATGCAAATTGCCCAGAGGGAAAAAACGTCTTCAAATTCATGCTTGGTGGCACATCCTTAGTCTAGACAACAATGTAAAGAAATGAGTTGTCACCAAATGTAAAGGGTTTTAGGACAAAAATGAAATAAAAACTATTTCTGCTAAAAACCCAGTTGATCTCTACCTTCGACATAAGGAGGTCAGGAGCAGTGCCAAAACAAGGTTCTGTTTAAGGTCCAAGAATGTTGATGAAAATAGATACCATGGCCTTTTACTTCATACATTGTAAACATAAATTATGGTATTGGAAATTTTCTCAGAAATAAAATTATTAACCATAGGGCCGGGGATTTAGCTCAGTGGTTTCGCCGCCTGCTGTGCAAGCACAAGGACCCGAGTTCGATCCCCGGTACCAAAAAAAAAAATTATTAACCTTATAGAAGAAAAGACGCTGGACTGAGGGTAGGAGGTAGATTCTGATTCAGCCTCTCATTAAGTAGGACAAGTCATTTGATCTCTCTAGTCTTCAATTTTTAGTTCTGTAAAATGAGGCCTCTGCTACCTTCTAATTCTAAAATTCTGAGGCTATGACTCAAATCTGTCTCAACTTTGCCAAAAGCTCAATTTTTCTTTCTGCATAGCTCATAGGAAATTGTCAAGGAGCTGACTAAACATTTAATTCCCACCTGTTTTTTTTCCCTTCATCTCAGGCCCCAATCTGCCATTGTAACCTCTTTATCACTGGGAATCACTTTAAAGGATAGTGGAGAAGCAAGTATGATGAATATAATTCACCCAAAGTCTGATTTTCTATTAATACATAATGTACTCATGTCTGCTTCACCATTTTTTCATTGTTCTGCTTTTTAATTATCCTTTATTATGTTTTGTTGTTGTTTTCATTAATTGAAAAACTTTAAAAAATTGTAACTCAAAAAAGCAAAATGGATTCTTCTATGCAAATTAGCACAAGGCATAATACTTTAAAATTTTTACCTACTAATTTTCCACATACAGTAATTGTCATTATTTTAGCTACCAGAATAAACTGATACAACTAAAAGGTTTTAGGAAAATTATTTATGGCTTAACAGCAAGCGTATTAACAAAAATCACATTAGTATATAAAGCATACTTATCTTCTTCATCCTTGAAAATATTTTAGTGCTTTTGATGGGAGCATATTTTAAACCAATATTATAAATAAACAATCAATACCTGTCTTAGATACTTTTCACATTGCTGAGACAAAATACCTGGCACCCAAAGTTAAAGGAGGAAAGGCTTACTTAGCTCCCAGTTTGTAGAGGTTTCAGTCCCTAATCCGCTGGCTCCAAGGCAGGGTGGCAGGGCAGACAGGGATTGCAGAGGAGAAACAGGAGTAATAGCCGAACAGAAGGTAGCAAAGCAAGTGAAGGACCCTAGCAGCTTTTTCCTGCTCTTTTTATATTCTGTCTTGGCTACCAGGATCAGGGCAGTGCCAAACTAATCAGTGGACTGATTTAGCAATTACCCACCCTTAATCCTAGCACCTTTAATCCTAGCATTACACCATCAACCAATCATACACTCTAGATTCATCCACCTTTGAAAAAGCCCCACCTATGACTGCATGAGGCTTTGGGGAGACATCTAGACACAAACTGTAACAATACCTTATAAAATGCAAAGAAGGAAACTGATAGCTAGATGATAAGAAGGCCATGAAATAGAAAAGACAAGAATCTGCCACTGACCTTGAATTACAACTCTACTTTGGGGTAAAAACGGAAATAAACAAAAACCAACCCCCCCCCCCCCAAACTGGGGAAGATATAAAGGCATCTAAGGTAAGATAATCCCCAAGTCTCAGAATCCTTACGGAGAGCCACTCTATTCTTCTCATCAATAATAATATAGACACTCAATTCTTCTCATCAATAATATCACTTAACTTGTAGGCCTTTAGTTTACTGAAATAATTTTCTCTGCTTTTTTAGTGTGTATTGTGTTTTCAAATCATGTTCCTATCAATATACTTGGCTTATCTGAATTGTAGATAGATGTTAGCCATGAACAGGCATCTCACTTGATGTTTCAGAACCATGGGAAATGTTACTGATTGTTTTATTACTTGGTCAGTGAACAGTTATGAATTCTGTTCCAAATGCTTAGAACTTACTCATATTTGCATTAGAAATGAATGGTTCAGGGCAGGAATGGAAAATATGTGGCATCCATGTGGTCATTACCCACTTCAAAGACTAGTGCCCATAACTGACCATAAACTTATTTCCTGCTGAGCTGAACTTGGCCTCAGAATCCTTCTCAATAGCAGTGAATTCTGCCACTATAAGCAAATATAAAACTATTTGCTGAATAAAATCTATGGTTAAAAATCTTACTAAAAGCATCACGTTTCCCTTTTTCTGTTTCACATTTTGATTGTCTTTTCTGAAATTTCCAAATCTTTTGGTTTTTTTTTTTCCATTTTGACAAGTAATAATTATTTTTCTCCAAGAGTGAACTTTTATTGCATTTAAAAATTCACAGCACCTCAGGTATGGTACTTCTAAATACAAATCAGGGATTCAATAAACATTTGTGCCTTAAGTATCCTTATGGTTAGAAATACAAGATAGGGTTATGCATGGAGTCAAAGAGTACCTGGTGTCACAGATACCTGTATTGGGGTCATTTCTCTGCAGATGTTCAAAGAAGAAATCATGTACCAAAGAGTCCCAAGAGATGAAGCCCTGGGAAACTGGCAAAGAAGAAATGTGAAGTTTCAGTACTTTTTGTATTACAAGTTCCTAAAATATGAGGAAATATGCCAAATGCCTTTAGCTTTCAAATGATAATATAGTAGGAATTAATGACTAACAAGGGAAACACCCACTGAGAAGTTCCTGGACAGTGTCCCTCCAAAGGTCGGATCCTGCTGGCAAATGACCAAAGAACCCTTCTTTCCTAAGCCACCAACCACTTCTCTGGGCAGGAAATACTTGTCATCATTTTAGCATTACAAAAGTGAGCAGTTAGAAGTAGTATTTGCAATTAATCTAATAGTTCCACTGAATATCCCAGAACTGGTGAGTGAAACACACTGATTTGAGGCCTCACATGGTTTTAAGGTAAACTATTTTTAAAGTAGAAATATAAAGATAAAAGATAAGCCTTTGAAGATAAGATATTTAAGCTTCTCATTTAGCAATTTAGTGGATAAACAATAATGCTCTTAGGCTAATTTTAAAGCATATGCAATACAGTCTATGAATTCCCCTTAGAACTAAGTATGGATACTAAAATATTCTCTATAAATTTGCTTTATTTCAGATTTTGATGGTTTCTAAAGTAATTAATTCTTTAACCTCAACATATGGGATGTTTTTCTTTGATTCCAGTAAATACACCTATTTTTTAAGAAAATGGAAACCAAAGATTCCAGTTATTTGCTTAGTGTAATCTAGTAAGAACATTTTAAATATACATTTAATAATCATTTATTTAGTCAATATTTATTGAACAACTGCTCTATACTAGGAAATCTGTTAGGTACAGGAAAATACAGAGTGAATGAAGTAAAATGTGGTTTATACTCTCATGGAATTTATAATCTAATAAAAAATCTTGCATTAAACCAGTACAGAAACAAGTCCCAATTAAGATAAATACTAAGTAAATAAAGTACATCTTTCAGTTTACTTAAAACACTATGGTTTATGCAGAAAATGGCAGTTTTACCTAATTTTGACTTGTCTTACAAAAGAATCACAATTGAAACTTAAAAAATACAGAAAGTCTACTATAGATTCACTGAATTGTTTCTGAATGTAAAAATGACAAAAGACATTTTTAAAAGAAAAAAGTGCCAGTTAGTCTAGAGATGCCTTTAACCATGGCAGTTTCCAGGGGAATTAATGACTGTTTTAGGTTAATGGTCATCAGCTTCATGTTTGGCCCTCAATTAAACTCTGAACTTCAATTGTTACTACTTAATTGACTTTGTTATATTTCATGTCAGCATTTCAAAATGACCTCCCTTTTAAAAAATAAAAATTGCCCTGACTTAGTACCATGGGTTCTTCTTTGAGCCTGACATTGTTGCTGCCGTCCACACTCACTTTATATATGGTGGGCCCAAAATTTGCTTGGCTTTGCAATCACTAGGGCACTTCCCATCATCTTTGCCTGACAAGAGACAGTTCCGGATAAATCCAGGTGAAGGACAAAGGCTGAAAATTAAAAGCATCCATTGATATGATTATTATTAAAATGCCAAATAAATCCAGAGACCTTTTTTCTACGCGCAAGGGTTAGATATCCTTAACAAATGCCACAACACAATACTGTCATATTTAATCAATAAGTTAATGCTTATTTTAAAATGCTATTATGTGTATCTTTTCCTTATATTACAAGTGGCTCTTAATATTTAGTTGTCCTAGTTAACTGAATGGAAACGTAAATCTTTTACTAACACATGGAACAATAAAGACAAGTTGAATTTATTTAATCATTGAGTTAGATTTTATATAAAGTAGGTCTGACATTAAGATTGAGCTTTTGCTATACTAAAACAAATGAAGGCATCAAATGAGCCTGTCCCCAGCCCTGGATGGTGGAAAAGTTTTAGAAGTCTTTTTGAAGTACTTTGATCAGGCTTTGAAATCATTTTAGTGGATTACTATTGTACGAAAACTGTAATTTATAGTGCTTGACCTAAGTGGCTCTTTGTCCCACAGCCTTATGTAAAACAATAGCAGGAAGGTAAAAAATGCAAGGGGAATCCAAGCTGGGTATTATTTAATTCATAATTCCATTTTATTTAATCTTTGGAATCCAGGCACATTCTTAATAAAACAGGTTCAGATAATTTTTACTATGTAAAGGAAGGTTAGTTTTCAATTCTGATTAGATGACCCAAACTTTGTCACATGCCTTAAGTGGAGAGTCACTCAGACAGGTTTTAGATGGGCATTTTTCTGTAAATGGGGACACTGCAGGCAAACTCCCATTGTTTGCCTTTTAGTTTCCTCTCTAGTAAAGTTTTCTTTGTTCTTTAACCCCAACCCCCTGCCCCTTCCAAAAAAAAAAAAGGTACCCATTGGGAGTCTTTTCTCTTGAGTTTCTGGTATAAAATAGTTACTCTGAGGCAATCTAGTCCATCAGATCACATGGACAGTGGGACGCTGTCTCCATGATAAACAGGCTGAGAAATTCTCTAAATCATACAGACATTGTACTACTTTAATTCATAATTTTAAGTAGCTGAACACCATCACTTAGGCTGAAAAGCAGCTCTAAAATCCTTGCATGTTTTGTTGGCTCCCTGCATTGATAAAAACATTTACTGAAGGCATAAACCTCATACCATATTTAACCCTGTAAAGTCTTATGACCTTAGTTAAAAGTTTTATGATCCTACAGGTGCCACTTATGCATTTAAAAATTTTGGCACATGAAGGATGCCTGGGTTTTGCTCATCCCTAAAGAGATTAAGCCAATTGATCCCCATCCCCCAATATATGCACCAGGATTTAGATGCTACGTATTTTGGCCCTTGGATCATTTTCTAGTGAGAAAAAGAGCCCGAGAAGTGAGAAATACACAGTGCACACCCATGTGGAAGGAAACTGGCAAAGGCTAGTGAAGGGGAAGAGGACCAGGAAGAAAGGAACAGTTAAGGCAAGAAACAGGAATGCAATGAAGGTTTAATTCAGTTGAAACACCACGTCCATCGATGGGAGCAGGTTGAAAAGAGCAAACAGCTAAGCCATCTTGGTTTCAAAAAGGAATGGAAACAATGGGTGTTGCTCTCTAGCGGGAGGCGAGTGAATTAACTGTTCACTTTGGCATTGTGCATTAATTATGGTGGCCCACCAGGGACCATTTAGTAGATTACCTCATCAGTGCTCTAAGCTATCCTCTGGTGGCTTGCATGAGTTAACGCACCCCCCAAAGACAAACAGTTTATCATCTTTTCCAGGGTGAAATCCAGCCTTACAGATAATGAGCAGGTACACACACGTATGGTTAAAAGAAAATTATTTCCCCTGGAGGTCCACTTTGTACTCTAGACCCCTGAACCTTACCTTTTATATGTGAGCGTAGGAGAATTCTGAAGAGCTAACATACCTCACCAGAAGGCAAAAGCAAAAAGATTCTCAATTGTTTATTGTTTTCTGGGGGAGGAGGTGAGGACAATGGGAAGGAGTCCATGGAGTCACCCTAAGTGTCAGTACTGGATCGGCTCTGCTCTGAGCCAATCCTTGCCCATACTTCCTATGCATCTCTTGTGTTTGAGAGCAGATGCTTCGGCACCCTCTGCACACAGGATAGAACAGCATTCAGAGTTATGTTTTACACACTCCTTTTTGCTTCTTAGCATGGCGCAATTTGTGCACATAGTATGCAGAATGCTCCATATAACAAGATTTGGCTTTCATGTTAATGTTCTAATGATGAAAGCAATAAATATAAGTTGTCATCCATGTCTATCTTCCAAGACTATATTGTTTAACCCCCCCCCAAAACCCAACCCAAACAACAATAAAAAACCCAAACAAGCAAACAACATATAGCGATGAAACACAGATAAGTATTTTTAAAATAAAAGAAAATATAAGGAGGCTTTAAGCTTCCAATTTGGAAACTTTATTTTCTACCTTCCCATACCCCAATTCAAATGTAGTCAATATAATAATCACATTAGTTTTTGTGTGGGAAAAAGCTTACTTTTGAGTCACTTGTTACATTACAGCATGTATATTTACTGCCAGTTTCTTTCTCACTTTTAAAGGCCAAATTGTAACACTTTATTCATAAACTGGAGGTGACTTTGCCAGGAAACACCAGTGCCTTCTCACAACACATTATGTCAGGGCTCCAGGTAGAAGAATAAACACAAAATCCAAGAACCATTTTTATTTTTTAATTTATTTGTGCCTGCTCATCATAAATTTATTTAATGTAAAACAAACAAATCCTTGACAGGGGTTTAACAGGATTTTCAACATCAGATAAATGTAAGTTTTTCCTAAGGGGGAAAAAAAGCAGTTTCAAGCATGCCTAGAAATCAATTTTAAGAACATTTCTGTTTAAAATGTGTGTGTATCAAGGCAATTTACTAGTAGTTTCAAATCCTTCTATCTCACTTATAAAACCTGCACAAAGAATTTTACATTGAAAATGGAAATTTACTTGACACCTCTTTACCATTTCATCTTCTTCCTCTCTCTTGCAGTTTAATGTAGTCTCACTTCAGAGTTAAAATCCTGTTTTAGACCCAATATGTTTATGCCCTTTTTTTTTCTTTTTTTCAGCACCAGGGATCAAACTCAGGACCTTGAGTTTGCAAGGCAGGCGTGGTGCCACTGAGCTAAATCCCTGGCCCCATGTTTATGTCCTTTAAAAGGAAGAACAGGTGGCTGTGGTAGCACATGCTTGTAATCCCAGCTCTCAGGAGGCTGAGGTAGGAAGGATCACCTCGAGTTTCAGGCCAGCCTGGACTACATAGTGAGTTTCAGGTTGGCCTAAATTATATTTTCTGATTTTTTTTTTTTTTTAGTACCTGGGATCAAACTGTGGTTGTGAGGTGGCTGTAGCACCACTGAGCTAAATCCCCGGCCCTAGCCTAAATTATAGAGCGAGGCCCTCTCTCAAAAAACACACAAACACAAAGGAAGAACAACAGGCAGAATTCTACAAACTTTCTTATATATAAAATAAACAAAGTAGCAGTAACAAATTAGTCTTTTGATAGAATAAAGCAATCTGTGTAACACAGGTACTTAGAAGCCAGATTTTTATTAATATTTACAAAATCACTTATTTGACAATATAAAAAGTTATGTTTCCTAAGCATGGAGACAAATATTTTTCTAAATACGTTCTTTGAAATAGATAATTTTTAATTCCTCAAAAGATATATTTATAATTAATTTATTCATGTTTTCCTTTCGATTGAAGTCTGGTCTGTAGGATATAGAAGTGAATAAATTAGTGTGAACAAATATAAAATTACTTTATTTTGCTTATGTAAAAATTTCCCTAGGTTTATTTCTGGTGCATTTAATTCATTCAAAGCCAAACATTTCTAATGTCTAAATTATTTGAGTGTTCTATAATTATCTACTATGAAATGCAGATACAAAGCAGTGTACTACAGAATGTGCTTTTTTACTTATAAAAATACTGGCTAGCATAATACTGACAACTAGTTACGTTTAAAGATAAACTCTACACAGCATGGACTGTTAGTTCCAATCCCTTCCCTTAGCACCCAAGCCAGAGTGTGGTTTCCAGACATAACTAATACTTGTAAAGGAGATAAATGTAAAATGTTTGGTGTCCAAATATGCCTTATCGAAAGCGGAAATTCTCATCCAGTGTATTTTTGCCATTTGGCTTAGTGCCAAAGAAGTCGGGAAACTGCAAAGACTGCACAGGGCCAGAGGGCAGCTCAGGCTGCAATCCAGGTAGGCTGAAGCCCCACAGGTGGAAAGTGGAAATCGGTTCCAGCTTCACATCTTCAGCTCCTCTAGGTTTGTTCTAGGTTATTCCATGATGACAATGCTACTGGGGATCTGAAACCATGTATGAAGACAAAGGGGAGGGGGAAAAGATAAAGGGAGGCTCAAGGGAAAAAAAAGAGAAGGTGATTCGGTAATGGGAGGAGAGTTGAAAAATCACACCTTTCAGTCTCCACATTTTCCTTTTGTTCACTATACAAGGAGAAACCATCCGGAAGGAAGAAAGATTATGACTATCTATAAACTAACTGTTTGACAGAGACAGAAATGTTGATAACGAGTGGGTTGTGTCTGTAGTTCTTGGCTGTTCGCATCAGCAAAGGATGAAGGAAAACAGAAACTCTTGATATGTTTGTCTAGAGAGGTAGTGGTGTGGCCATGCGGCAAGAGTTCAGCTGAAGTTCAGGGCAGATGTTGCCAGGAGTTTACACTGCAGGAAAGTAAAATTGCTTCCGGATTCATCTCTTCCGCCCAGCTTCTCTTCCAGGATCTTTGGGGTCAGGCAGTGCCATGGCACAAGGTGACAATGTCTGTGGGAAAACAGGCTTTGAGCAGGATGCCCCTCTCCCGGTTGCAGTCCAGCTCCTGGATAAATCCGTACCAATAGATGACTAAGCCTGGCCCAAATCTGCAAAAACATCAGAAAATAACATATACATATAGTATCAGCATAGCTCCAGAGAAATGTCACCTCGGAGGCA